TACACCCTTAAAAACCTTAAACGATGATTATAACATCGTCTTCACCTAACCAGATAAGGGTCGTGGAGTTATCTAATGAGAACTACCTTATTAAGCTTAAAACAATAGTTAATGACACCTCCAAATTTAAACCAATCATGTCTGACACTGCTACGCATCTACTGAAATTGAAAGACAAATTAAACAGACTCTTATGCTTGATAAGAACACCTATCAGCAAAACCTCCTAACTACAATCTGGCTCCAAACCTGGATTCTTATATGGCCTTTCCAAACTTCATAAAATTGGTCAATCACTATGCCCCATCATTTCTGCTGTTTGAACCTTCAGTTATAATGTTGCTAAATTCTTAGCTAAGATCATCACCCCACTAACTACAAATGAATATACCACAGAAAACTCTTTCTCATCTATCAAAGAAATTACTGCCCTTAAACCAATACAGCCAGTCACAATGGCCAGTTTTGACACTGAGTCATTATTTACTAATGTTCCTCTCAATGACATCACTGATATAACTATAAACAAAACTGCCTCATCACTCTTAAACTTGTATGGTCTGAACAAGACAACTTACAAGAAACTACTTGATATAGTTGCTCACAATTCAGTGTTTGACTTTAATGACTCTATTTACACACCAGGGTATGGTATATGGAATACCCTGGGTATTCTCTGTAGCAACATATGGCTGTGAATGCTGGGTACTTAACCCATTCGTGACGGGCTGTCATGTATACGTGACATGCCTACTGTGAGTTTACTTCTTTTTACTGTTTTTACACATAGATGGCTACACTTGTACTAAAACACCAATGAGCCAGTTACGAGTACTGCCTATCTCACCCATTTACCCTTTTCTTTAATTTACGAAAATATCTTCTATTATCTTATTTTGCTATTACTATTGTTTATAACATTATAATAATTATAATGTTTATAATAAAAATAACACCATCAATATTCCTAGCACTAGTAAAAAATACATTTTCCCGCCAATTCAAGGAAAGGTGAAATCAGGTAAGGCAGAGCCATCTATGTGTAGAGACATTTCACAAAAAATATAAAAAATGAGCACAGCATTTTCCCCATTTTTTGTTCATTTTCCCCATCGCGAATGGGTTAAAAAGTCTGACAAACAGAAATTGAACTCATTCCAGATTTGGTGCTACAGAAGAATTCTAAGAATTGGCTGGAGAGAAAGAATAACAAACACATGGGTTCGGCAAAAATTGGCAATGCTACGTTTATGAATTCCATTAACAAAAGGAAATTGTTCTTCATTGGTCACATTGCAAAAAGCAAGGGTCTGGGCAATGATGTACTGTCAGGAATGGTAAGCGGCAAGAGAAGAGGAAGAAGACCGTGACAGAAGCTGGAAAACCACATCCAAGGAGTCGTAGGACTTTTTATGGCCCAACTGCTAAGACGTGCGTATGACAGAAAGTGCTGGAGGACAACTGTCACGTGTCCCACGGTGGGTCAGCCCTGACACTTCCAATGATGATGATGATGATTTACACACAAATAGACGGTGTAGCAATGGGATCACCACTTGGCCCTTCTAAGACCAATACCTTCCTTTGCCACCATGAACAAGCTTGATTGAATAATTGTCCTGCTAATTTCAAACCTATTTTGTATCATTGTTACATGGATGATACTTTCTTACTCTTTAACGACCCCTCTCACATTAACCCTTTCCTCTCACACTTGAATTCACAACACCCCAATAATAACCCACTGCCGACAGGTATGGTATGTACGTAAAAGCCATGCCCACTGTGAGTTTAATTGTTTGTTTTTACACATAGATGGCTACACTTGTACTAAGTCACCAGTGAGCCAGTTATGAGTACTGCCTGTCTAGCCCATTCACCTTTTTCATTGATTTATGAAAATATTTTATGTTATCTTATTTTCCTGTCATTAATGTTTTTAACATTATAATAATTATAATGTTTATAATAAAAATAACACCATTTTATTTATAGCACTATTAAAAAATATGTTTTTCCCGCCAATTTAAGGAAAGGTGAAGTCAGGTGAGGTCACAAGATCTGTACCATCTATGTACAGAGACATTTCACAAAAATATAAAAAATGAGAACAGCATTTTCCCCATTTTTTATTCATTTCCCCCGGCAGCAATAGGTTAAGTTAAGTTCACTTGCGAAATTGGACAAAATAAAAAACTATTATTTCTTGATATCAGCATAAATTTTTGCAATAATTGCTTCTTCACCAGTGCCTACAGGAAACCCATATTCACTAGCCTTGGACTTCATTATCTCATCTATATTCCTCCTATTTACATGAAAAACAGCCTTACAACACTTATCAGGCTTACAACCAGTTTTCATGAAGAAGCTTCATTCTTAAAGGAATATTTCACTACAAATGGGTATAGTCAAGAAAGACATTAAATATATAAAACTTCCATATATGGGTGGTCTTAGTTTTGATCTCAGAAAATCATTGAACAAAACTCTCAGACAATGCTATCCTCAGACCTGTTTTTGTTTTTTGTTTTTTTTTTACTATTCTAACATGATTGGAAATTTCTTTAAAAAAAGAAAAGAAAAAAAGAGTGTGACTTTGAACTAAGTTCAAATGTGTGATCCAAACCTAACCTTTCCAACTTTCTATTTCTTCTTATGAGCCCCCTCCTGTACCCCTTATTAGCACTTCATGCCAACTCGGACTGCGTGAGCGTTGTGGATTTAGTCTCTGAGTAATGATATGCAGCGGGTATTTTCCTTTTGTCTCTATTGTTACTTATGTCTGTATTTATCATTCTATAAGATAGCAGTGTCCATTTTCCTCTTCCTCTGCATCGCTCTTGGTAATATCAACCAAGTACAAGATTATGAAAGTCAAAACAGAGTAACTGTTATTTTCTACGACCTTAGCTTAGGGGATAAAACTTACCCTTAATGGGGGTTCGCCAAAGTGAGACAAGGAACACAGGCTGAAGGAAGTGTCACTCTCCTCTGAAGGTCCCTGTGCCTTCATTCACTGTCTTCTGAAGGTTCCGTCGCCCTAATTCACTATCTTCTGAAGGTTCCCCCGCCCTAATTCCCTTTTCCCTGAAAGTTCCCTCGTCCTTAAACCCCGTCCAGGATCGCGTCAGCCTCGGCCTCCGTGCAGGACCAACCGACGCCAACCTCTTTCTGCTTTTACAACTCCTTGATAACCAACAGAGCCAATGTCATATTTCTGAAAACGCAGTTTGTATCCAGAATACGTCCTACACTAATGAAACATATCAACAGCCACTGATTTTGAGGGGACTTTGTGCCCGACGCTCATCCCTCCGCTTGTCTTTGGCTCGACAACAAACAACATTGAAAACCGAGCCAATGGTTCTTTTCTCAAAGGTAACATTAATATACTATGTAATTACGATAGGCCCCAGGAGGACTAATTTATTTCTGCTAAATCATATACTTTTTTGTATTTATCAAATACACTTCGAAAACCAGAATGGTCACTAATAAACCTGACACAAGCACCCTGAGGCCTCTCATCAGAGGTCGAAAGATGCGACGAAACGAAGCGCGCAAATTGTCGCGACACTCAAGATAATCTACATCTCGATCTTTTTACCTATGCAGATTCATTAGGTCTACGATATAATTTTTCAGAATACCTTCGCTTAACCGATGCGACGATTTTGGTATCGATGAGCCTCCCACTCTCCAGTATCCAAATAAATCGAAATTACCCTCCCCCATTAGTGACTGGCCTCCATAGCAGCGGAGGGGATGAGAGGTACCTGGGAAATTAAATAGAATACAGTAGATAGATAACAATAATACACAATTAATAAGCTGTGCCCCCTACGACCGCAATGGTATCTTGTACGCATACAGGTATATGTAGGAATTATACCGCGGCACCAGGTAAATTGAATAGAACACAGTAAATGCGCAGCTATAGCAATAATACACAATTAATACATCACTGTGATATATAGTGCGACCCTCATGGAGATTTGCCGTCCCCTGCAGCCTCTACACTTGTGGTTCTTAATCTAGGGTGCCCGTGGTGGTGGGGGGAGGGGTGCTAACTACATTTGTTTCAGCTTTTCTTAGGGGGATGGGGCGTAGGTGAGCGAAGTGTACAAACAATTATAAACAAATAGTAATTCTAGAGGTATTTCTAAGTTATACCTGGACCTTTATAAATGTAATTTAGTAAAAGAAGTTAAAATTGTGGTCTTGGGGGCATGCCAGATCTTGAGGGGGGGGGGACAGGGTCTTGGGAAGGTGTCGTGAACCACGGTTCTCGCCACGACGGTGAATTGTTCCTCCTTCTCACTTTCACTCTCCCGCAGGCATGTGGTTAAGAAAACTTGGAAAAATGTCACCCTAGAGGGAAATGCGAATAGTTTTATCTCCCGGGGGTGAGGATGCTCTGCGTTTGCCCCGAGGCTCCACAACCTGCATAGAAAACGGGGGGGGAAGAAAACGCGGCTACCTGCCTCCCTCCGCTTTTACCATTTTATTGTTTTTTGTCTATTTTAGCAATTATTAAAGGTTTTATTTTATATTATTATTCATACCCTACACAAGAACAAAAGAATGAGCAAACAAATAACAAAATGAGCAAAACAACGAAAAGGAGGCAATTTTATTATTTTATCACACGTCTCCTCTCGGCAAAAAGGCACGCTTACCGAACTCTCGCACACTACACTTACACTCCTCCTCTCTCTTTCTCACACACACACACACACTCACACCTACTGTCCCTCCTTTCCTGTCACCCTTCCCTTACACTACCATCTCACAACATGAACATTCACGTTCCCATACGTTAACTAAATGGGTGGTGGCAGTGAGTACTTTCTTAAGCTTTGCGAGAGATTCCTTTGGATGGCATAATGCCATCAGAAGCAGTTAATTCTGAATTAATGTGTTGTCAGTTTATTCTCTCATTATATTTACACCACATAACTACTTAATGGTGCAGCTGGAGCTAGAGACCATATGCCATTCTTGGTATGTTCTCGAGCTATAAAAATATAGTAAAGAAAATTATATGGTCACAAGCTCTATCTCTACCATTAAGCAGTTAATGTTATGTAGAATAAACCGATAGCACATTAATTGTAGGTCATCTACCTCTTGATATTACGTACTGTGTATTGTTAAAAAAATACAAATACGACGGCGTAATAGGCTACTATTTTTTCTTTCTTCAATTTTCGTTTACGTCATTAAGCTATGTGAGACACTGTAGTTTCGTGATTTTTTCTCTCAGGACTGTAGTTTATTTCGTTACTTTATGCAGGAAGCATTTTTTCTTCATTCAAAATGGACAACAGAAAAGGCACTTGCATTGAACTAGGTGATTCTATTTCCAGTTTTTGCAGCCTGCTCTCGACGTACAGCAGTACGCAACTGTTGGGTAACTGTAAAAGGCTGTAGAATTACTTAATACAATGGACTGGTTGAACAGTGATAGGTTGGTACGGCTAGACTCTTTATTGTTGAAAAGTATACATGAATAAATGAACACGATACGATGATCTGGGAGCAAGTGTTAAGCGGTGTGTCGTGGGAGGGGGGGGGGCGAGGCTGGTAGTGTTCTTGACTGAATGGTGACAGAGTGCGAACTGAGTGGGTCATCTCAGGTCAGCTATAATTGTTATCTAGGTTTTTGCCAGGGCGATGATTCTAAATGAACATGGACACTTATTTAGTTTCTGGTCTACAGACGTGGTCCTGAGCTTATACAAAGCATGCTTATGTACACGCCATGTTTCTCGGGCACCTACTCGGGCCTCGACCTCGAGGCGCCATTTATTGTCTCAAGGGGTGAGCCACTTTGTCTGAACCTGACCGGCTGGGCATCTTATTTTCGCGTGCTCTCTCTTCGATCCATTCTCGTGGCTGCTCGTCCTTGTTGTCCAATTCTTCTTCCTGGTCCTTGATGAAATCCATTCGTTCTCTCGTCCACACGTCCTCGTCTCGCACAGGTCCTCCTCGAATCTAATTCGGCGGCGTATTTGTCCACACGTCCTCGCAAATCTGATCCAGGTCCTTCTTGGCTGCATGCTCGTTCATATGTCCTGGTAGCCTTAGTCTGGATCTACGGGCGTCCAGGCAGGCAGCACCCTTTCCACCTTCTTAAGGTGGCTAATAACTGCGCTGACCAGCTCCTGGGTTCGACTGGATCTACGAGCGCCCAGGCAGGCGGCGCCCTTCAATTACATCCCGGGGCAGCTTGATGCATGCACTGACGAACTCGTGGTCCGCAAGCCTACGGCGATCTTAAGTTGACGTCCTTCCTAAGGCGGCCGAATCTGCAGCAAGTCCCTCCTTCGCTGCCGTGTCGGATATCGGTGAACCAGATCATACACGCAATCGCCATGATAGTATTTATATACTTCTACACACACACACACACACACACACACACACACACACACACACACACACACATATATATATACACATATATACATATATGTATATATATGTATATATATACATATATGTATATATATAAACATATATGTATATATATGTATATATATATACATATATGTATATATATGTATGTATAGATATACATATATATTCATATTCATATATATATATATACATATTTATATTTAAATATGTATATATATATATATATATATATATATATATATATATATATATATATATATATATATATACTTTTGTTTCTGTCCCTTCACCAAACCCTTCTGCTATCCACCTCCTAAGGTGTGAGAGCCGTGCTGAAAGGATGAAAGGCTGACTTTGTGCCAGTCCTGAACGGCCTGAGGGAGCCATGGGCACGGTATTCCCCTGACTTTAGTTATCTAGCCCTTACCCCTCAAGGGGACCCTGAGGGGTGGACTGTTTTTATCCCCAACATAATCCAGGCTTACCATGGCCAGTAATGAAAATATATCCCCACTGTTAGGGGCAATGAGGCTTGCCCCTTTATCAAATAGCCCCAACGAAGTAAACCCACCCGATTCCCCGACTCCAGGCTCTCCTTTGACCACGGCTCCGAACACTGCAATAACTACCCCTTCACCAATGCCTACTAGTACAGTAGCCAACAATCAACCCTCAAGGAACATTTCCACTCTCCCAGCATGCTCAACTTCAACACCTCTACCCCCACAACCTCCGACATCAACCATCCCATCCTCCCTTATTAATACCTTACAGCCTTATAGCCCACCTCTCCATAACACTACCTCCCTCAACACTACTCCATCTTCGTCACGCCCTCGCCCTTCTACCACCCCTATCTCTAAAACAATCTTGAATACTCTCTTCAGTGCAGCCAAATGGGACCGATTTTTCGTGATCCCTCCCACAGCTCCCTACTCTGACAACACCCTTCTCTTCCAACAATGCCTCCAAAAACAAGTAGGTAAAGTCTCTTTCCGTAGCCGACCCGACCGCTCCCGTCTTGTCACAGTAACATCCGAAAACCAAGCTATAGCATTAACAAAACTAACTGACCTATATGGTAACCCCATCCTTGCAGAACCCCATCCAACCCTCAATACTTGCACCGGAACAGTCTCAATCTCCCCAGCAAATTGCCCAATCTATGACAAAGATTGGCCAGATTGTGGAGAAGATCTACTTGCCTGTCTCACAGACTACGATGCAACATCAGTACAATGCTACTCCATTCCCCCCAGAGGTCATCGAAAGAAACCCACTAACATAGCCAAAATTACCTTCCGTAGACATGACCTTCCCTTTAACGTCTACATAGGAGGAGAATCCCTCCCTGTTCGTCCATACCAACCTCCTCCACGTCAGTGCCAAAATTGTTGGCGTCTAGGACACCCAGCCAAACATTGCCGTTCCACAGCCAGATGCCCACTATGTGCCCAACCTGGCCATACCTGATCTAACTGCTCTGCACAATCATGCACATGTGCCAACTGTGGCGGCCCCCATAATGTATTTTATAGGGGCTGTCCCACCTACAAATTTGAATCTGAGGTAGCAACTCTCAGATTCAAACTTGGACTCACACTGCGTGAAGCCAGAAAGGAAGCACGTTGACGTGGATTCTCTCTTACTCCTTACTCCAGTAATACTGCTCATTCTAACACTTCTCCTAAACCCACCCCTCCTACATCTAACCCCCCCTATTCTACCTCCTACCTTCCCCAGTCAAACTCTTTTGCCATCCTAAATCCAGAAACTCCAATCTCTACTACAGATACTCCAATCACCACTACAACCCCAACACCTTCCCCTCTCCCTCCTCGCACTCCCCGTAACAGACAGAACAAACGTTCCACCCCCTCTTCCCCTACCACACAATCACCTCCACCATCCTTTGCCCCTACTCTTGAGACACCAGTCCTCTCTTCCCCCCATCACAAGAAATCCTTTATCCCCCAAAACTCCCCAACCAACTCCTCAGAAGAAACTATTGAAAATATTCAAGATTACTGAATGCAAACTGACACTCAACCTACAACCCCTGCTCCTTCCACACTCCAAGTAACTGCTGATATCCATCCCCCTCCTAACGATATCCCCCCTACACCCTATCCTCCTACCCCCTCCCAACACAGCCCATCCCCCCCGACCCCGACCCCAACCCCGGCCACATTAACCCTCCCACCATCCCCTCTATCCCTTCCACTCCCTCCTGGATACACACGTGAATCCCTTATGTCACGAGTATCCCCTTCCTCAGACCCTCCATCTCCTAATACCCCTCCTGATAGAACACCAACTCCCACACCTCTCCCATCTCAAACCTCTCAGTCCTTATCCCACCCTCTAGCTGCTTCCCCCTCAAAGTCTCCAACACGTACTGCAGTCTATATCACTAAATCAAAGAAAGTATAACTATCCTTCATTGGAATATTCGCGGTTTCCGCTCCCACAGACCTGACCTTCGTCATATCCTTTCCTCTTATAACCCATCTATTGTATGCCTTCAAGAAACCTTTCTTACACATCCTCCAATACCAATCCCCAATTATCATTTTGTCTCTTCCCCACATTCCCTTTATGTCTCGTCCATACTTATCAATCAGAAAACACCTCATGTCACACCACCCTTTCAAACCAATGTCCCTTGCACAGTTATTCGTATCTTCCTTCATCGTTTCTACTTCTCCCCTTCCCACCACATTGACTTTGTTGCTTTTGAAAATCTAATTTCCCAACTTCAACCACCTTTCCTCATAGTGGGCAACTTTAACTGCCGCCACACTCTTTGGGGTGATTCTATTACCAACTCCCGAGGCCGATCTCTAGAGCGCTTCCTCTCCACAGCTGACCTTACTATTCTAAACCCCCACCTATCCTCCCTTCACCGACCTCCCAACCTATCAGACATCCTTACAGAATCCCACACTTTCTGCATCAACAACCTGTTCTCTTTCCTCAAACGCATACATATCCTTTATCTAATCTAACACCCGACCTTAACCCTTTGACTCACCAATTCCTTTGCCCAGCTTAGACAACTAATCACTAACTCAACCACCTTTCACTAACATTAACTATAGTGCTACATGACCTTAGATGTCTAGCACATTTATCTTGCTTTTAACCATTAACCATTTCTATTATTTTTATTATTTCTATTATTAGTATAATTAATAAAAAAATATATCTGGCGGCAATAATTACAATAATAATGATAATAATGATGAAATGGGAAATTCGATTTTCGTTATTATTTTCATTATTATTGTTTTTATTGTTATAATTATTTCTGTTATTAGTATAATTAGGAAAAAAATATATATGGCGGCAATATTTACAATAAAAATAATAATAATAATGATAATGACACTAATAATTGCAATAATGATGATAATGATGATAATGATGATGATAACGATATTAATGATGATAATGATGCTAATAACAATAACAATGCTCATTTATAATAAAAAGGGAAAAAGAAAAAAAATCCCGAAAGTCGAAAAGGCGGCAAAATCTAGCGATATATAGCCTTTTGAGAGTTTACTCCAAAATGACGTTTTTTCGATTTCAATGATGATTTTGGCAATTATTAGGTTAATAATGATGATAATGATCATAATTGTATTAATCATGACAATAATGATGATAAAAATGAGAATAATATGAATTTCGGTAAAACTGTAATTATAATAATAATTTTGATAATAATAAGAATAGTTGCAATAATAGTAAAAATATTATTATTATTAGTATTAGTTATTATTATTACTTCTATTATTATTATTATTACAGAAAAAAATATTATAACTGTAATAATGACAATAACAATGATAATAATGACAATAATACTAATTATAGTAATTATAATGTTATTATATTTATTATTGTTATTATTATCATTACTATTATTTTTTTATCAGTATAATTGCAAAAATAAATATTATCACCGTAATAATTGCAATAATAACGATAATGATAAAAATAATAATTATTATCTTTATTATAAAATCGTTTTTGATATCATTATTATTGTTATTAGTAGTATAATGGCAAGAAAAAAATGTATAACTGCAATAATTACAATAATAACGAAAATATTGATATTAATAATAAAAATGAAACATTCGATTTTTGTTATTATTGTTACTATTATTGTTTTTATCATTTTTATTATTTCTATTATTAGTATAATTAATTAAAAAATATATCTGGCGGCAATAATTACAATAATAATGATAATAATGATAATAATGATCTTCTTCTTCTTCTTCTACGAGCTTAAATCCCACTTAAGTGGGGTCGCCGGTGCGGATAGTTCTCCTCCACCTCGCTCTGTCCATGGCATCCTCCTCCCTCAGTCCCACCGCCTCCATATCCCTTTTTACACAGTCCTTCTATCTTGTTTTTGGCCTTCCCCTCCTTCTGTTACCGACTGTTAACCGTCTCACTCGTCTCCCAACATAGCTCTCCTCTCTCCTTGTCACATGTCCCTGCCACCTCAGTCTTGTCTCGCTCAGCTTCTTCTTCAGCTCGCCCACTTGCACTCGCTCCCTAATCGTCTCATTGCTCACCTTGTCCATTATTGTCAACCCCAACGACCACCTCAACATTTTCATCTCTGCTACTTGCATCCTCTCTTCTTGGACCTTCGTCACCGCCACTGTTTCCATTCCGTATATCATTGCCGGCCTCACCAACGTCTTATACAGTCTACCTTTTACTTTCTCTGGCACGTTCTTGTCACACATGACACCTGTGATCTTCTTCCAAGCTCCCCACCCTGCCTGGATCCTTTTGGTTACCTCCTTGTCTGAACCACCATCTTCTTGCACTATAGAACCCAAATACTTGAACTCCCTCACCTGTGCTATTGCCTCTCCTTGTAGCTTCACTTCAGTGTCCTCTTCGTTGTCACCGCCTTCCCCTTTAGCTTTCAGCTTCAGATATTCTGTCTTTTGCCTACTCACTTTCATACCTCTGTCCTCCATTGCACCCCACCACAGTTCCAGTCTCTCTTCAATTTCATCCCTCTTGTTCCCGCACACCACGACATCGTCCGCAAACAGCATATCCCATGGCGCCTCCCTCTGCACTTCTTGGGTTAGACAGTCGATTATGATCGCGAACAGGAAAGGGCTGAGTGCAGAGCCCTGATGCAGTCCACCCGCAACCTCAAAGACCTCCGTCTCTCCTGCCGCACATCTGACTTGGATCTGACACCCTTCGTACATGTCTTGGATGAGACGAATGTGCTTTTCTCCCACCCCTTTCAGCCGCAGACAGTTCCATATTTCCTGCTGGGGTACCCGATCGTATGCCTTTTCTAGGTCGATGAAGATACAGTGCAGGTCTTCTTGGCCATCCCTGTACGTTTCCATCAGCTGTCGCAGCGCAAATATGGCATCAGATGTGCTCCGTCCTGGCATGAAACCGAACTGCTGTTCTGACACTGTCACCCTGCTTCTCAGTCTTTTGTCAATTATCCTTTCCCACAGTTTCAAAGTGTGAGATGTGAGCTTTATACCACGGTAGTTTCCGCAATCCTGGATATCACCTTTGCTCTTATAAATAGGGATCAGAGTACTATTTCTCCACTCATCAGGCATCCGCTCTGTCTCCATGATCTTCTCAAACACTTCTGTCAACCATCTAATTCCTGTCCTACCCAGCACTTTCCAAGCTTCAACCGGGATATCGTCTGGGCCTACCGCCTTTCCTCTCTTCATCTTCTTCATGGCCTCTTCCACCTCTCTTTCACTGACCCTATTTACCTCTTGTTCCTCGGCTGGTTCAATCTCCCTCTCTATCCTCGGGTTTTCCTCATTCATAAGATGCTGGTAGTACTCTTTCCATCTCTCTCTAATTTGTGTGTCATCTGTCAATACTTGTCCATTCCTGTCTTTTACCATCTTTGCCTGGTATACATCTTGGGATTTCTTGTTTCTCTGTTTCACCAGTCTGATCGCTTTCTGCTGCCCATCTGGCCCCTCTAGGCTGTTGTACAGGTCCTCATATGCTGCTGTCTTTGCTTTTGCCACTGCTTTCTTAGCATCTTTATTTGCCTTCTTATATGCTTCAATTGTTGCCTCACATCTATTTAGGTCCCTGTCTCTCTTCCTTTCCCTTTTTACTTTGATTGCCTCCTGTACTTCCTCGCACCACCACCATGTTTCTTCTTTCTTTCCCTTCTTTCCCGATGTTATTGTCATAACCTCCTTCGCAACTTCCTTCACAGCGGTACTCAACCTCTCCCATGATATCTCTTCTGCACCCATCTTTCTTTCCAATTTCTGTACAAACTCTTCTCGATGTACTTTTGAGTTCAACTTCCACCATCGAGTCTTCGGAATGCTGTATATTTTCTGTTTCTCTTTAGTCTGCAGCATCGCTTTACAGATCACTAACTTATGCTGTCTGGCTATCGCTTCCTTTGGCAATACATAGCAGTTTTGAACTCTCTTTAGTTCCTCCCTCCTGCACATGATGTAGTCGACCTGTGTGTTTAGCCCTCCGCTGGAATAAGTCACCCTCCTACTCAACCTCTTCCTGAAGTATGTGTTAACCACCGCCATTATTGCTGTCGCAAAGTCCACTATCCTCTCACCTTCATATTTCTTGTGCCCACTCCGTACTTCCCCATTATTTCCGTATCCCGGCTTCCTTCTCCAACGTGCCCGTTTAGGTCCCCACCAATCCATGTCTCCTCCGCTACTGGGATTCCTACCATGACACTCCCAAGCTTTTCCCAAAACTCATCTTTCTCCTCCTCAGGGCAACCAACTTGCGGCGCGTAGGCGCAGATGACATTCACAATCACTTTCTCCACCGCCATCTTCAACCACATCACTCTGTTAACCTGTAATATCCCTTCCTTCAACTCAGGACTTAGCACTATTCCCACTCCATTCCTCCTGTTGTCCACACCCGCGTAGTAAAGTTTATAACCCTCTCCGAGTTCCTTTGCCTTCTGTCCTTTCCATCTGGTTTCCTGCAAGCACATCACATCAATTCTCTTCCTCTCCATCACGTCCACCACTTCTCTTCCCCTTCCCGTCAAAGTACCAACGTTCAGTGTACCAATGGTAAACCATCTACTGGTAGCCTCCTTCTTCCTCCTCTCTCTTCTTTGAGCTAGCTTCTTTAATCTTATTCGCTCTTGATAAGGTAGCCGTTGCACACTTCTCACAGCTGTACGGCGGTCTTGCTGCGCATCGCCTTCGGGGAATGCCCTAGCATGAGGTGTAGATAATAATGATAAAATGGGAAATTCAATTTTCGTTATTATTTTTATTATTATTGTTTTTATTGTTATAATTATTTCTATTATTAGTATAATAAGGAAAAAAAAAATATATATGGCGGCAATATTTACAATAATAATAATAATAATAATAATGATAATTCCACTAATAATTGCAATAATGATGATAATGATGATGATAATGATGATAATTATGATGATAATGATATTAATGATGATAATGATGATAATAATGATGATAATGACAATAATAGTGCCCATTTATAATAAAAAAACACCAAAAGTCGAAAAAACGGCAAAATCTAGCGATATATAGCCTTTTGAGAGTTTACTCCAAAATGACGTTTTTTCGATTTCAATGATGATTTTGGCAATTATTATGTTAATAATGATGATAATGATAATTGTATTAATCATGAAAATAATGATGATAAAAATGAGAATAATGTGAATTTCGGTAAAACAGTAATTATAATAATAATTTTGATAATAATAAGAATAGTTGCAATAATAGTAAAAATATTACTATTATTATTATTATTATTATTATTATTATTATTATTTTTATTATTATTATTACTTTTATTATTATTATTATTACAGAGAAAAATATTATAACTGTAATAACAACAATAACAATGATAATAATGACAATAATACTAATTATAGTCATTATGATACTGTTATTATTTTTATTATTGTTATCATTATCATTACTAGTATTTTTTTTATCAATATAATTGCAAAAAAAAATATTATCACCGTAATAATTGCAATAATAACGATAATGATAAAAATAATAATTATTATCTTTATTACAAAATCGTTATTATTGTTATTTTTGTTATTATTGGTATTATATGCATTTTTTATTATCAATATTATTGTTATTATATATATTTTTATTATCAATATTATTGTTATTAGTAGTATAATGGCAAGAAAAAATATTACAACTGTAATAATTACAATAATAACGAAAATATTGACATTAATAATAAAAAATGAAACATTCGATTTTTGTTATTATTGTTTCTATTAATTACAATAATAATTGTAATTAATAAGTACAATAATTACAATAATAATGATAATAATGCTAAAATGGGAAATTCGATTTTCGTTATTATTTTTATTATCATTGTTTTTATTGTTATAATTCTTTCTATTATTAGTATAATTAGGAAAAAAATGTATATGGCGGCAATATTTACAATAATAATAATAATGATAATGATAATGACACTACTAATTGCAATAATGATGATAATGATGATGATAATGATGATAATGATGATGATAACGATATTAATGATGATAATGATGATAATAACAATAATAGTGTCCATTTATAATAAAAAAGGGAAAAATAAAAAAAATCCCAAAAGTCGAAAAAGCGGCAAAATCTAGCGATATATAGCCTTTTGAGAGTTTACTCCAAAATGACGTTTTTTCGATTTCAATGATGATTTTGGCAATTATTAGGTTAATAATGATGATAATGATCATAATTGTATTAATCATGACAATAATGATGATAAAAATGAGAATAATGTGAATTTCGGTTAAAGATGATGCGCAAAAAAAAAAGTCCTAGTTTCAGTTCCTTGGTTCCTTTTGTTTAATAGTGTAGATTCTTAATTATTTGTCAATTTCTAAATACTCATATGGTACTGGAGGTTTTGTTATCATTATCACTATTATAATTATTATTATTATTATTATTATCATTATCATTATTATCATAACAACAGCAACAGCTGCAACGACAGCAAAAAATGATAATAATGGACGAGTTTCTCCTATCTAGACGCTAAATTCTTGTTTTCTTACATATGCTACCTTCAAAGAAAATCGTAACCTTTTCATTTCACGTCTCTTTTTAATTGGTTTTGTCAAAATGAGAGACACCTACTACTAGGTCAACCCAACAAAACGCTTAGTTTGCAGGAATATGTAGATAAATCTTTTTTTAGTATTTGTATAAGCACTTCAATTATTTTATTCTAATATTTTATATTTAATTATTATTTTTGCCTATGTCCTTCCAACCTAGAAGACAAACAAAAATGAGACAGATTGGTTCATGGAATAGATATGACTGCCTCAAAAGAACAGCGTGAAGTAAAACTGATTTGCACGTTGTATATATTTCAGGGATATAACAAATAACAATAGTTCTAAGCTAATTGCTCGTGGGAAGCAGGAGCAGTAGCCCTTTTTTGAAGCCATGGGTGAAGTATCCAGTTGACATGCTGCATAG